CTTTTCAATCGCATTGGGGATCCTACTGTGTCGAAAAGTACTCGGTGTTGGTATCTGAGGGAAATAGCAACAACAGTCAAACCTGTATCAAAGCCTCCGTTGACGAGAAATCACATTCAAAATCGATTGAAATGGGCCAAGGACAATATGAAGATTGACTTCTCTAAAGTTTTGTTCACAGACAAAACTCGAGCAACACTTGATGGGCCAGGTAGATGGTGCAAAGGCTGGGTAATGAATGGACAGAATCGCCATCAGTGTTTGAGATGCCAACAAGGCAGTGGAGGCATAATGATCTGGGGTGGTATTATTGAAAAAACATTAGTGGGCCCATGGACAGTACCAGATGACGTCAAAATGACTGCTGATGCATACATAGCATTTATGAAGGAGCATCTTGAACTGTAGATGAAAAGGCAAAGAGTTGCCTTCAGAAGGGCCATTGTTTTTATGCAAGATAATGCTCCCTCACATGCTGCTCACAAGACTACTGAATATTTGAAACAGTTAGGCTTCGCTGGACCTCAAAAAATGAAGTGGCCAGCAAATTCTCCAGATTTGAACCCAATTGAAAACCTTTGGAGCATCATGAAGCAAAGACTGTATGCCAACGGATGACAATTTAGGAGCAACACTGAGTTGTGGAAAGCAATTCTTGACATATCTCATGGCATTACAGCAGATGACATCCTACAATTAACAAATTCTATGGATCGTCGACTTCTTCAAGTAATTTCAAAACAGGGAAAGCACATTCTCTATTAATTTGTTTAAAACTGTGCCTTTGTTTGTATCTGTTATTATTTGTTTGATTATCTTATTTATTAGCTTCTTTTGATCATAAACATTCATGATCAATAAATAAATAATAATATAAATTAATAAACGTTTTGTTTGCTCAATTCTGGGAATTTTTCTAAATCTCTCTAATAATTTGGCATGCTCAAATCACTGTGCTGATAACAAATATGGCGTCAGTTTGTTTACATTGCGCAGATCAGGTTGAAAATTTCAGTGATTGCGCAGGTCAGTGTTGCCAACATTGTGTAAAAATTTTGTGTGAATTGATTATAGGGTTTTTGAAACATTAGAAAAAAGTTATCTCGATAATAATTTGGCATGCAGTGTGTGTGTGTGTGTGTATATATATATATATATATATATATATATATATATATATGCTGATATTGCTAAGAAATGCATTGGAAGAGAAAGGACTTTTTTCTAAGCAAGGAAGTTTCTTTTTCCCTTTAAGAGAAAGTGTGTCATCAAGTTTCAAATCTTAAACAATTTAGACTTACCCTTCATTTCCCCACCCCAATCACTTTTTTGTGAATGGAACAATTTGTGTCAATTTATACATGTGTATGTATATAAAATGTTTTCATATATCTCTTTTTTTTTTTCTTTAACTAATTTCTTTGGGTTATTCTAGTTCTTTCATTTAAGTTGTTAGTATAAAATGGATATACTAATGCCTACATTTGACCTTGGAAAGTGAAGAAAAACCAAGATATTTTCTCTATTTTGAAGTACTTCATTAATGTCTTATTTCTGTTGTTTATTCATGGCTGTTGACGTAAGTAGATGCAATTAAAGTCAACTAAAATTAACATAAAAAAATACTAGTTAGAAATTAATAATGGTTGGTTGCATTGTCTAATAAGAAATTCTAACTTCTAATTGCTGTGGACTGATAGTCTCAGTAGTTGCAATATCAAACAACAAAAATTAAAATGAGATATTAATAAAAAAATTAATGATTGACCATGTTTCATCTATTTACAAAATCCTCAGGTATAACTAAAATTGTAATTAAATCTTCAGGTAATTTAAGTTGTTGTAAACTAATTAATGCTTTCATGTGATTCAAGTCCTCATATTCAACCAAGAAATTAAAAACATTACTTTGTATAAAAAGAAACCATTCTTGAAGGATCATTTTATATATTTTTTTCTTTTGACAATGAACTATGATGCAGACAGACATACACCGACCTTGAGAATGTGTTGAAGTTATTTGCATTCTTTCATTACTTGAGTCATTCAAATGAAAATGAAGTCACATATATATGTTCCTCTATATACAATGAGGTTATGTTATTATAGGGCATTTGTAAAGTGAAAGATAAAAATCTAACTTGAAAAATTTCTCTCTAATCATGAGTTTATCCTCAAACAAATTTCAACAAATGCAGAAGAAACTCATCAGCGTGTTAGCAGATATGATAAAAAAACAGAATTAAATACTTGAGATGTGTGAGAAAATGAAATAAAAAGTAATAATAATTAATAAAAAGAAATACATTTTCCCATGATGCTAGTAATAAAGAAACCAGAAATTTTATTACCTCACTTGGCTTTTCCAAATTCCTGTTAGGTACTGCTGCTGAACTCTATAAAAAGACCAACACTTTCTTCCTCCTCTCTCTTTCTCAAAGATGTAGCACCACATGGGAAAAAAGATGTGCCCACTGGGGGACATTTGTTTCCCTGGTTTACTAATGACTGAACTCTCTTATCACTTTCCAACACATGTCATTCGCACATATCTTCCAAAACCTCCACCTATGAAGTGAATCAACTTTTTCTTTGGTCGTTCCAGCTCAGCACAAGGCTGACTTGAGCTCAACCAATATAATCATGCTGACCCTACAATGATGAAGTAAGTACAAACTTTTCTTTGGTTCTTCCAACTCTGTGCAAGTCTGACTTGAACTCAACCATAATAACTTTGCTTATACTTACTTCTGGATCAGAAAAAGAAAGACATACCAAAGAGAAATTTGTTTCCCTAAAGTCACTATAAAAAATGAAATTAAGGGTCTGTAATATAAACCCAATTTTTTATGCTTCTTTTTAATTGTTTGCATATGAGCACACACACACACACACACATCTATAATACTCAAACAAAATTTAAATTCTATAGATGTCAACACTTGCAATCATAAGCCAGAATAGTTACTGGTACTTTAACCCCTCATCGGTAGAAATATTTTACAACATCAATCACTCACAAAAAGTAAAAATTCAACACTTTGATAACTACAGAAAGCTTATAGAATTGTGAAATTGAAAAATTCTAATTCATTTTTGTGAAATTGCTGAAGTTAGAAAGGAGTTTCATCTGTCTGGTATCACAATGTTTCATATAAAACTCTCTTTTCAGAGTCTGGTAATTTCTGTTTGAAATTTTTGGCCTAAGATTAACCAATAATCATGTATTTAGGGTACAAAAGGAAGAAACAGTGAAGTCTTCCTGATCTTAACTATTATACTAATCTTAACTTACTAACATTCTTAACTGCAGTTGGATGATTAATTTGTCCTTGTTTCACTTTGCTTCACATTATATTAAAAAGAAAAAGCCTTTAGTATTATTGATTAGGTTTCAAGAATTTATCACATATAATTATGATAAACAGTTCCTCAGAACTTATGATACAAATCACATAAACCTCAATAACTTGAATTTGCTTTGAAAGATTTTTATCAAATTTTATATGATTAATTGATGTCAAAACAAAGCTTGGGTTTTTTTAGGGAGTTTCAACATTTTTTTTTTTTTTTTTTTTTTTAAGTTATTGGATTTATTATAAAAATTGCAGTCTGCAGATTAAACTAATATTAGTTTAAGACCTCTGAAATCTAATGAAAATTTTTTTCCCATAATTTATGTTGAAACATGGGTAATAATGGAAAGGATCTATAAGAAAATGGAAAATAAAGTTATTGAGTGAGGAAATGTCTACATAGGAAATATCAAAGAAGCTTTGCAGAGATTATAGAATGACAAAGAGGACTGTTGGAAATATAGTTGATAATTAGAAGCAAAGAATTTAAGAACTTGTTTCCTTGTGGGGAACGTAAACTAAAGTGAGTTATTGTAATGTAAAACAACGACTTTTGACTTTTTTTTGTTTTGAACAGTTGTTCAATTTAAATTTACTGAATGTCACCAACTATTTGAATACAAGGACTACATTAATAAATTATATTTGCAGTTGTATATAATATATTTTAAAATGCTGATGTCAAAATTCCCAGTATCACATCTAGCACAATGTTATAATTGCAGTTTTAATTTCGTTTATTTACGTTGAGCACATGGGTCCTTAAACTAATTTTGTACCTTCATGCAATTTTTCTAATACAAGTGTGTAACATTGCACTATCAGGGTTCGAAATTATTTTATAGGGCAGCAGTCACTTAAGATTGTCATGACACAATCTGAAATTGTTGATGATTTCTGTACGAAATTTGGCTTGTCTCTGTCCCCCTATGGGGAAATATAAAGAAAGACGTATTTGAGGTCTGCTAATTGGGGATTTGTCACCCCGGACCATTTCATTAAGAAATGTATAGCCAAAGGTATACCTTGTCATCAGTGATATGAAAGCCGGTTTGTTTTTGCATGTTTCACCATAAATTATTTATGGTGAAACATGCAAAAGTAGCTATTTATGATAGATAACGACTGTAAGTTGTATCGGGTGTTATAACATTTGCCTTCATAGGGCTGCAAATAAATGTCGATACAACTTTTTTTTTTTTAAAGTTTTGTTTGGGCTTCTAAACTAAACATAGTTTCAATGTCTTCTGTAATATTTTCTTTTTACCTGATATCCAGTTTAAAAAGAAATATGACGAATTTGTTTTTCACTTGTTAAACACCCCTTATCTTTTAATTTGAGTGGACTGATCCAGTTTGATTTCCGAGCGAACAACGTATCGCGTGTAGTCTGCGCGACAAGGTAAGCTACCTATCAAGGCAGTTCTTTGTAGCGATCAGATAAGCAATCAACGACAAAACCAGCAAGCCAACTCACCAACCACTTAGTCAGCCTATTTAATCCTTTTCATTCTCGGGTGGGTAGAGAAAGCCGTGGGTCAGTCGTTGCAACACACAAGTAGCAAAGCAATAACGACCAATCGAGAAAGAGGCCATCTTTACAGGTGTGCCAGGTAAACTAACGACAAAATGGCGGAGAATCGCATGTTTCTTTTCGGGTTCGTCCTATCGGGCGTGGCCGTGTTTTGCATGGTGATTGCTTTTTCCAGTCCCAACTGGATGGAATCTTTCGAACAGGCAGACAGTAAATTTGTTAAGCTTGGCCTCTGGGAGTTTTGTTTCAATGATTACACTTTTTACAAGGATTACCAAGGAAAACGCTATCGAGGTTGTTGGTATATATTTTCTTACGAGTACAGGCCGATTTGGGAATGGCTGTCTCCACGTAAGTATTTCTTTTAAGAACTTCTATTTTCTCAAATTTAGGAGGACGGTTCATTGTCATTGCCAAATTTTAGATTTTGGGAATCAATGGCATCGACGTTTCCGTTCATTCTCTCTAAATAAAAAAAATAGAAAGAAAATATTGACACCCTTTTTCTGTGGTTTCACACAGGTAGCGATCATTAAATTATTATGGATAATTAGTTTAAATTCTCAATTCAAAACTCCTAAGATTAAAAATATCGGAGTATTGCAAATAAACAGTAAAAATGATTTATGTGTAGATTGTAGAAAGTTTATACAACTTTGTCCGCTTTTAAGATATCTCGAATAAACAAAAACAAACAAAAAAAAAACCAAACAAACGTTTTTCACTCTTGAAATTAGGACAATCTTTATTTAAATCCGACCAGACAAATTTAAAAAGTCTACTCTTGTGGTTGATAACCTATTTAAATTCATAAAATTCTTACCTGACATGCTCCAAATGTTATGCATGCTAGTTATGAATTTTAAACTAAACTTTTTTTATTTATTTATTTAAATCAACCGTAATTAGGTCCTGATCCTCTATTCGTGTTCATCATTTTCTCAGATCTTGAAAAGTTTATGGTCATGCGGCAAAATGGCGGTTATTAAACAATACAGAACGGACTCTTCCGTGTCTTAAATGAAAATGTGGTGGTATTTTTTTTTTTTTTTTGCTCGCGCAACAGTTAATGTGCGAAAATAAGAAACGATTAATTAAACTAACAAAAAAAAAAAAAACAACAAAACGTTATTCCTTCAATGATTCTAATTTTTATCCGTTATATTTTTATACTGTATTATAAAGTAAGCAAATATTTTTCGTGTTTTGTTTTCTTAAATCCTGGCCGAGCAAGTTCATTTTAAAAAAATCTAACGTGAAATAATCTCTAAATTTCCGTCAGTCAAATAATCCTTTTGTCCTGAATTTTTTTTTTTTTTTACTCCTGGAAACATTTGAGAAAACTTTTATAAAGTTAAGCTTTTTCTTTTTTCAATCTTTTTCGATTCTTTATATTATTAATTTTTTTAAAATCCTAAACTCTAGATCATTATCTTGTGTATATTAGTTAAATTTGCTAAAATCTGTGTTACGTTTTATACCACGACTAGCCTACCATACTTATGTTCAAAGTAGGTCAAGTGCTTGCGAAGAAGGGACAAAAAAAAATTAAAACCAATTTCTTTCTAAAACACACACACACATATATATATATATATATATATATATATAATATATATCGTCATAAGGCGAAAATTTTCTACTTGACGAAAACCTTTCTATACTTTTATACTGCAGATTTTTAAAAATAAAGCATTTCTGAACCACTTTTTTACTTTACACTTCTTCGCCATACTTACCTTGTGCATCCAGGTGAGAGGAGGAAAGAAAACTCTAGCCACATGTAAACAATTATCGAAATAATTATTCTGGATATTTCTTGAAATAAAAAAAAAATAAGTCTTTGTATTTTCCCGTTCTACTTTTCTTAAAATATGACCAAGAAGTCCATAGGACGCAAATTAATCTTTAGACTTTTTTTTTCTCCAAATATAATTGTTTCAACGCAGGTTTGTATTTATATTCTGAAAGATGTCTCTTGTGGACAAGTTGAAGCCAGCATTATCTTGTCAAGGAAATCTTTATTTGCTCTTGGAGTACGAGCACTAGGTATTTCTAAGAAAAATATTGCATGCCCTGTATGTTTCTGAAGCACCTATATAATGATCATTGCACTTCCTGATGTCTGTTGCGTGTCGGGAAGCAGGTGTCAAGTCAACTAGATTTTTTTTTGTCATTACCCGTACGTCTCTGGGTCAACACGTTGAATTCCATCTATGCTCGATTTCACTGACGGAGTAAATGAATGTGGTGGCTGCAAAAAAGGATTTCTGAAGGATTTAATTTTAAAAAGTAAACTTAACGCTTTGCCCCAAATTGGAAACCGGAACAGGCTTATCCTTGAATTTTGGCTAAGAAAGCATAATTGGATTTTTTTTCCGTATAGGTCGACCCAAGTTTAGACATGTTGAGCGTGTGCATCCTTTCTGGAACGTTATTGACCTAATTCATAACTCATTCACAAATTTAATGAGTAAACAATGTTCAAATGAAACTTGTATCTATTTTTCAAGTATGGTGGGGGAATCTACTTTCAAAATCTTTATTGACTAGCTTAGTCAGTTCATTTGTTGGTGATCAATCTTATTGAATGTAACTTTTTTATTTGTAGAAATTGCTTGGTATAAATAATGTATTTCTAGCTACAAATGCATCAGCTTTGTTATTCTGATTCTCTTGTAAACGACTCCAGAGTTTAACTTATGGGTCCAATTTTGTTAAATAGTGGGCATTAATATGTCCACTGTTTAACACACACACGGCTTGTCCCTGGTAACGCTAAAAAAGTGGTATACCCTGGAGAAAAAAGGTCCCCAAATTGATAAAAAAAAATTTTAACGTGTAAATGTTTAAGATTAAAGAGGGAAGACCAAAGTATTTTTTGAATATTTTTTTTCAGATTTTTTTAATCCTTCCGATAAATTTTAAAAATTCTATTTAAAAATCTCGTTTTTCTTGAATAAAAAAAAATACTAGTAAATTCGATTTATCGGCCATTTCTGCCCAAATTTGTAAACAAAAAATCAAAATTAGTTAAAAAATCAATTAAAATTCAGTTACACCTTTTTTTTTTTTGTTAGGAAAGTATACTTAAATGTAATTTGAAAGAAACATTACTTACTTTTTTAGCAGAAAATTTTTTAATAGAGATATTTCCAACCGTAGTGCTTGCGTAGGTGCGTGATTGAGAGGTGTTAATTGATTTACATGTCAATATTGAAAACTTTACGTCAAGGGAATTTATCGTACGGTAGCGCAGAAGTGATGTAATTCGTTCTAATTTTAAGTGAACCTGGTTAGTAAATTAAAAAAAAAAAAAATTCACTTTCAAATTTTTTTAACCTTACGTTTGAGGAAAAATTTCTGAAGTAAAAGAACTTGCTTCTATCAAGAGAAACAAGTCTACATTTAATAATGTGACATTATTTCAAAGCTGTGCATCCATACTTTCGTTGGAGACGATTTTAAATACAATTTTGGAATATTAAAAAATTATTTTAAAAATATCAACGTTCGTCAGATTTTAATAAGCTTTCAAATTTATGATCTTGAAAAAAGTAGAGAAAACAAAAAATGTCATTTCCATAAGGTTGCATAAAGAAACTTAATTTTAAAATATATAACAACATTTTGTGACTTTTGTCATTGTGTATTTAAAATAGCAAAAAAAAAGAAAAAATTATTGTAAAAATTCATTTTTATCATGTATTATTTTTTTTTTTAGATTTTTAGATAAGAATTACCTTAGTATATGTTCTTCAGAAAAGTCATAAAAAGCTTTTTTAATTAAATATTGTCTTAGTTTTATTGGGTTTTGTATGTTTACAATTGAGGTAAAAGTTTGAACAATTTTGCACATTTTTTTTACCAATAAAATCGATGATTTAGAATCTTCAGAGTCTTGTGCCTTTAATAAAAAGAAAAAAAATTCAGGTTGCAAAAATAAATTTTTGAAGTTTTCATAAAATTAAGTTCGAGGGTTGTAACATATATAAAAAAAAAAATATTTATACCATGACTTTCAAAAAGACAAACATTTCTAAAATAATTTTATTCATTTGTGAATAAGTTCTGAAAGTTTCATTAAAATCCAACAAGTACTTGATTTTTGCAAGATTTTCCAAATCAATGTTTTTTTTTTGTTTCAACTGAAAACAGTGGAAAAAAAAACTAATGCTAATATTACCTAATTTTTGACTAAAAAAAACCCCAAGATTTTCAACCTAAATTTAAAATATGCTGCAAATGAAAAAAAAAATTTTTAAATAATTAAAAAATACCTTGGTCTTCCCTCTTTGATTTTAACAAACATTTACATGTTAAAATTTTTTTTTTTTTTTATCAATTTAGGGACCTTTTTCTCCAGGGTGTACCACTTTTTTAGCATTACCTGGGACAAGCTCTCTCTCTCTCTCTCTCTATATATATATATATATATATATATATATATATATATATATATAATATGCTTTTAAATTTAAGAACTTTTGATTAAAAGCAGATTTGCAATATTTTTACCCAAAGCGGATGGTTGTTATGCTAATTTTAATCTTAGCACATTAAAATGAATGTCATTTACTCATTGCTAAGTTGGTTTTATTGAAATAATTTTTCTTTAAATATTTTTCTTTCAAATTCAGCTTGGTTCATTTCCGTCCAAGTAATGATCAGTGTAACGTTGTTATGTCAAACGTTGGTGGTCATTTTCCTATTGTCGCTCTTAGTTCGCTGTTGCCCACATCAAATGGAATCCATATTGTTAATGATAAGCAGTATAATGATGTTCCTCTGTGGTAAGTCTTTTTCTTTTTTCTTTTTCTTTAAACTAGAAAGAAAACTGAAGAGATTCAGGATTAATGTTGATCATGGCTCTACTTTGTCCTTCAGTTTGTTTATTGATCATTTTTAGCAAGTATAATTGTGAACCATATCTTGACTAGGGATAGTGATGTCACTTCTATTTTTGAATTCAGAATTACCCTTAACTGACTGCCAACCAAGGCATTTAGTTTGTCCTGCTATTTTACTTGTAGCTGGAGAAGAGATGGATTCATACTGTATTTTATTTCTTATTTCATCATTTCACCCCAAGCAAGGTAATAAAGCCACGAAGACACAGAGGTTACAATATGAAGGGGGAAACATTAATGAGAAAAATAAAAGAACAAGAATTATAAAGACAGATAATGATTGACATTGCATTTAAACTTTTGAAGATCAAAGTTGACTAGAATGCAAGAAGCCAGAAGAGTTCCACAAGTGAGAAGTGCAATAGAAGAAACTTTTAGCATAGAACTTATGGTTGTGTCTAGCCATTTCAACTGTGAATTGATGAGACCTTACAGCCAATCTAGGACTAGAGAAAAATTCATCAAAATAATTATGAGAATGATTTTCTTTACTAAGAGCATTTAAAACAAACTAAATATAAATTGACTTGGGTAAAATTTGACTGTGTGGGCCACTTGTCAACAACACTTCCAGGAAAATACAGGCTTAAAAAAAAAATGCAAAACAAAAAAAAATAGACATCTAGATGCTAAAATGAATCTGTTGGTAAATACAGTTCATTAATGATATTCCTAAACTTGGTACTATCAGAAAGTAGTAGAGATTGTTATTTTAGTCAGGCTTGATATTAAAGTTGTATATAATTGACTGTAAAACACAGGTTATTTGGGTACTGTGAAGGTGAATGTCCATGGCTTGCATTATTCACTACACCTGTCTTACCTGAATTTACGGGCTATCCTTGACTGCAAGTTCTATTCTCATTAAAAATCAAAACTGAGCATCTCAATGTATTCTGTCTCTTGCCAATTGATTGAACACTTTCTAATATTCATTCTTGATTTAAACCATCACATCTTTGCTTCCAGACTTTAGTCCAGAAAATTGAATGAAAATGCTGGGTTGGTTGGTTAGCAGATGCTCTGTCTTTATCCTAATCTGCTCAGTTTTTCACTTTTCCTGACTTCAGAGACCAGCTGTGTTGAAAGTAATGTTAGATGTTGTTTGAACAACCTGCAGCCCACTATCAAATATAGCAGATTTTGGGTTTTCTGACAAATTTAATTTTTTAATGGAGTAATGAAAGATAATGTCTGAAAAATCTCTTATGGGGCATGTCAGAATAGAAACAGTACTGAAATCACAAAAAATTTGTCAAATACAAACTAAAGCTTTTCACCCCTTTGAAAGTACCCTACCAACACCTTGAGTCATCTTTCTGCCATTTCTCTATGCACTCCTGGGATTCTCTGCAGCTCCATTGTCATGGTCCTCCTGATGGCTTCCACATCCAGAAAACTGCCCCCCCCCCTTAATGAACCACCCCTCCCCTCCTTGAGTATGAGGGCAAAAAGAAAAAAATTACATGGAGTCTGGTTAGTTGAGTAAAGAGGTTGCTCTAGCACTGCATAGTCATGGTGAGGCAGCCACAAGTTGTCTTGCCTCTTTGCGTGCACTGAATGAAGCAAATTTCACAAGATCCCTTTGTTGCCATGCTGGTTGAGCATCTGGTCCTGTGGCAAGAACTTTGAACGATGCTTCTCACATTGAAGAACATTATCGACTTCGACTGTCTTGACTTTTTCAGCTTCAGAGACTCTAGACTCTTCCACTGAAGCCTCTAATGCTTGTTCTCTGGGTCGTAGTCAAAGAACCATCACTCATCACCATTGATGACTCTCCCTAACAAGCCTGGTAACAACATCTCATTTCCATATACTTGCTGCAATAGTTTGAGTTCTTCTGACTGATGTTTGCCCAGCCAAACTAGAAACTTCTGTTTGGTTTCTTGCTCTGGGCACATCACCTTAACGGTCTAATATTAAGGAGCTGTTAATAAAAGCATGTGGAAAAAAAAACCTACAATGACTGCAGAGAGCTGAAATCACAGTTATATGCTTCCTGGATATTCTGTCTATTCTCTACCCAATTCATAGCTCTGTACGAGATTTTACGTGCTTTCAGCTAAGCACTTGACCATTTTCAAGGATTATTTTTGTTTTTATTTTATTTTTTTTTATGCTACTATAATAGTGTCTCTTTGTTTTAGATGTTATAAACATTAATGAAAGTAGATATATTCTTGATTTCCAAATACAGCTGCGTTAATAATTAATGTTATTAATTAAGGGTTGATTTCTTTTTTATAAGGGCTTCCATCACTTAATTTTGCAATTCCATGCTGACATAAATGTGACACTATAAAATATATATAATATTTTTTTTTTTTTCCCAGGTTTGCTAATTGCCATATCATTGATTGTATTTGGAGTTATGTCTGAAGATCGACAATGGATGCCTCGCCCGGATCAGAACTTCCTTTCATGGTCTTTTGGAATCTGTGTAATGTCTGGATTTTTCTCTCTCTTTGGTGCTATGTGTCTCCTGGTTGCTAGCATCAGTGCATCAGCTGAACGTAGCACTGCACCAAGTATGAATATGGCAATGAAGACTCGTTACTAAACCCTCCACCTGAAATTTCCTTTCCTGAAGCAAAGATGTTGATGAAACTGATGAATGTTATATATACTGGAATCCAGTAAGGACCATCTTGGATGGACACTCATCACAAAATTTGCATAGTCTGTGTACATATTTATATACATAAATATATTTTTTTAAGTTTTCTTTTAAATACCACATTAAATTGTATTAAATTTTTGTTTTTCTTTTTGTAGTAAAAAAAAAAAAAAGATCTCTGAAATTTAATTTTGTATACATACACTTGAAAAACAAAATATCCATCTTGAAATCTTTGTAACTTTGTTGAAAATATCATCACCAAAGGAACATGGAGTTATTGAGCTTTTAACTGTTCAATTTTCTCATTGTTTCATTATTTTTAATTTTCTCTCTGATAGCATTGTCCAGTTGCCATAATAAATGAAAAGCCTTCTCTTCAAATGAAACAAAAATAACTATCTTCATATAATATTCAACAGGCCGATAATATTGTTGGTTTTGCTGCTATTCAAAATGGTTTATGGGGGCAAATGGATTTACCAACAGTTGTTGATTCTTTTTTTAATCTGCTACAAGCTTATGGTTTTCTTTTTCCTCATTCAAAATCTTATGAAAGATAAAATTTTTAACCTTGTCTTTTTAGTTAATAAGGCTTGTTTAGCAGGCTCTTTATTTAATATGTAAACTCGGACATTAAAACAGTTGTAATGTTATTTATTTAGATATTATATTATAAAATATACCTGTATCTATCATATTTACTTTGTTAGTTTAAAAGTGTTTGAAAAAAAAAAGAAACCAGATTTCAATTTGACTTTTTAAAAATAACTTAAGTATTTAAAGGCTAGATTACTTTTAGGAATTTAAAATTTTCATTTTAAAAATGTATTTAAACAAAGGTGGATGCAATCTGCTATGTGGCTGTTAGCACAGTGATGTTCTTATGTGATTTCTGTATGAACATGAGATGAGTTTTTATATATATATATAGCCAGATGGCTACATTTTCTTCAGTCTCTATACAATCTTTTTAAAAAATAGATAGCTTTATTGAACATATTGTAGTTAGACATTTTCTGTTGGTTGATGTTTGAAGCTAGGGTTTTAAAATGCCTATATTTAAGGCCAACAGGCCGTCCCATATTGGCAGATTGTTGCACAATCTTACTCTGCACTTCTGGGTCAGTTTGGTGAGTTAAAGTTGCATATTTCCCCCCCACTGGTGCTAAAAGATGTTATTTCCCCTGAGAATTTCATCCTCTGATTTTTTGCTTTCTTTTTTTTTTTTTTTTTCTGATAGCTTCACTTTGGTACAGCAATCTTCTTACTCCTCCCCCACATCCTAATCACATGGACTAAGATAAGTAAATATCAGCCAATACAAATGACTTTGTTAGGCACAGAAATGAGGAGGATGGTTAACTAAATTAAATACTAGTATCTAATGCAAACTTACAGGTTGTTTCTTCCAGTCACAATATTGCAAACCTTCAGTTACATTCACAGTTGAATCACCCTCTTACCTTTTTGTAAGAAAGTTTCCTTCCAAGAACCATTACTTTGTGTAACACTCCCACATGGATGCTTTCCCCAAATACTACAATTTTATCCTCTTCAAGTCTAAGGTATCAATCTTTGTGATACAAATATAAGAGGTGGAAGCTGAAATGATATTTTAGATAAAGATAATTTTTCAGTAACACTCTACCTTGATGGCCAGTTGGGCCTTGTAGTGGGTGAATTTAAAAGAAAAAAAAGGAAAGCAAATATTGTGAGATTCCTGTATCTTACCTGAAGCTCTTTTTAGAACCGAGAATATTGTGGACCCAACTTACTGAAGATGGTTGAAGGTTTATTTCAGTTTCTAAAATAATTTTTATTGCTCAAGATGTAATTGATCCGTTTAATATTCTAGCTTCATACCCGGATCTATTCACTTGTTGGTCTTAATTAATCATTGCACAATTTTAAGCATTTCTATCAGAAATCATCACTTGATATAAATTCAGAAACTCTTTAGGTTAAATAATTCTATTTGTTTATCAGTAAATCTTTCTTGGATATCTGGCTTACAGCCACATCATATTGAAACACCAGCTCCCATATAATCACTGGTTAAGCAACATCAATCCTGGTCACTATACCTAGATGGATGACTGCTTAGGAATACCAGATGCTGTAAGCTTGGATGTGCAGGTGGTGTAATGGATTGGAATTGTTAATCAGAGAGCAGTTCCAATTTCCATTGGGTTTGATATATTCACTTACACAGAAATACCTTTGGGAAAGGTATGAATCTACCAGTTCTCCACTCAGCTATGACTTAATTAGTAAGATTTGTATCACTAAACCATTATCTCTAAACAAAAATTCTTAATCTAAAAGTATTTTCTGGCTTTAAATAACCTGTGCAAAGAGTTGATAAACTATAAAAAATAAGTGAATCAATGAATTTCTTGCATGTTTGCCTTTTCCCAAGTGATGTGTTATTGGACATACTATAGCTCATTGTTGATAAAGAAGTTCATCTAAAACTGCTGTTGCTAAGGATTGGTTGTTTTAAAAACGCAAACAGCTGTTTAATTTTGAATAGTTGCATTTAAATTTGATCACTTTGTAATCATTTTTGTTAAAGATGAAAAGCAAATTGGTAAAATTAAGTTACCAAATCTTGGTTTTAGCTCAAAATCTTAGCAAGAATTTTTAATTAGCTTCAATCCCTATCAAAAAGGAAACTAAATAAAATTGACTCTTTGGAATGTTTGTCATGCAAGTGATTTTTCTTTTAAACACTATGGTTTCAGAAAACTTAAATATGCATATGCCAGAATCAAGTGATTTTGTTAATTGTTGGTTGTTCTGACTTAATATGGATAGCTTGTCAAATTTAAGTTTTTACAATTGGATTAAATCTTAGCATGTTTTCTCCTCAAAGAATGTGAAGGAATATTTTTTTATAAGACTGTCACAGGACTTTTGTGACTTAATTTTGTCAATTTGTTATTTCAGTTTGCAAGTGAAAACTTCAACCACCAGTAAATTTAAATAGGGTATTTCACAAGCAAGCATTTAATGTGAAGACTTTTTGTAAGTAGTTAACAATAGGCAAGGTTGTTCACTTTCTAAAAGCAATCGAGAATTCTCATCAGTCATTATTCCATATTATAATTGATCTAGTATCCTCATCTATTTTTTTCCTAACACTAGTTTTTAACCATTGTGTTCTTGTAAGATAAATGGTAGAAAATGGTTTTGTATAATAAGTATGATACATACTAAGTACCCATTGATGTGGCCTTGTGCCAGAATAACTTCAACTTAACAAATTATTTTTCCATTAAGTATTTGTATCTGATTTTTAACTGAGCAAATAATGTTTTCTCATTTAAAATTTCATGTTTTTGTTCATTATACTTTCTTTTTGCTGTAAATATTACCGAAATATTTTTTTCATTGCATTTTATTCCAGTAATCATCGCTGTGTTTACCTGATTCAAATTTTTTTTCAGTTATTTAAAAAAAAAAAAAACATTTTCACTACAGGATTTTTTTTTTTTGCTTTTTGTTTTCTCCATCTCTTGAAAAGTCTACAATATATATCAGGAAATGGTAATTATGTAAAAATAATAGGGAACTGTGCACTTTATAATTCAATTCAAAGGTGCTGGAAATTGAAAATACAAGACTCACCACCCCCGCCCCCACCACAATAAGTAGTCTAATGATAAAAAAAACTTTGTGTGTTTATAAATTCATTAGTATGAATATGGTTGGTGGGAGGTTTATCTATAAAAGAAATTACTGCCCTTTTTAAATTTTTCTTATTTTTTTTTTTTTTTTTTTTTTGTCATTATCTAACCCATCCTATTCTTATCAAGAAATCAAATTTTTGAATACAAAATATGTATACAATTGAATTGAATAAAAACATTTTATATCTAAAATTGTTACCTGTGATTAATAGGAATGAGTTGTTTTTTGTTTGGAGAGATCTCTCACTCTCTCTCTCACACACACACACACACACAGTCTACATCCACCCAAAGTCTAATCATCCCCCATCTATAATAAAATGCATACCTGCATCCATAAAATAAGTATTAATTCTGTGAACGAAGATATTTTATAAATACTGCAATTTTTATAACAATGCTTTAAAAAATAGTGGCTGTAAATGTCCTGATATTAAAAATGATAGCCCAAAGAAAATAGAAAAATCATTTGGTACACGCCCCCATTTAACCAAATGGTTAGCACTAAGTCAGGGCAAAAGTTTCTTGCTTTGATTGAGAAACCTTTCCCAAGTAATAATCCTCTAAGCAAGATTTTCAATAAAAATATGCTTAAATTAAGTTACAGTTGTACTGATAATATAGAAAAAATTCTTAAATGTAATATTTTAAATAAACACTTAAACATAAATAATAATAGTGATTCCAAAGCAGAAATCAATAATATCAATAATAAATTATGTAATTGTAGAAATCCCGTAAATTGTCCATTGCAAAATGTCTTACTGACTCTATTGTTTACCAATGCACCATTTCATGTACTGAAAACCCAGCTGTTAAGAAATTTTATATTGGTAGCACAAAAAACCCTTTTAAACAAAGGCGGCATCAACATATATCTTCTAACAACAATGCATACCATAACCAAACATCCTTCTCTAAATATTTTTGCATTTAAGAGAAGTCAATAAAACCCCCACTGTAAAAAGGAAAATATTTAAAAAAAAAATGAGAATTTGTATGTCCCATGTCCCCAGTGTCTACATGAAAAGCTGCATATTAAGTTTCCTAAAGATCTAAATCAGCGTAATGAATTAACGGTAATTGGTAGGCATGTTTACTTTAAAATATAGTTAATAGAATTTTTCATAAAAAAAAAATTTATGTATTACAATTATTTATCAATTATTTTAATATATAACGGTGTATATAATATTTAATTCTTTGAAATTTTTTTTTTTTTTTCCAACTTTAATATTGCTGTGTTTT